GGGGGGGGGGGGACACGGAAATCACCTCTGGTAAAACAAACACTCCTCAGATGCCCAAAATAACTCACCTTCAAGGACAGTGCTATAATAAGGCACGGTTATATTTCTCTGTATGCTCTCTACCAGGCACACACCCCTGCAGCATTTATACACAGACCTGTAATCACAACACCTGGTGACATCAGTACAGAGTAAGCCCACTAGCTCCAGAGGCCTAAAGCATGTGCAGCAGTTAAAGTGCTGGCTGGAGTCTGATGAGCAAAAGAAGATTCAGCAATGTGGGACAGGGATAGGCTTAGTCTTAGCTCCTACTCAAGTGACCTACATCTATACTGCAGTCTATTTCAAGGAGAGGAGATCAGGCTGGAGTGCACGAGAGGCATACCTGAAACACTGACCCAACTGCGCTGTAATCTACAGAAGAGAACATGCTGCTCAGCAAGGAGCAAAGGAAGGGCTTGATAAAAACAGCTAGCTCTGTTGTGTGGCATGTAGCTATACTGCAGACCCAGACCCATGTTTGCATTCTCCTAAAGAAGAGTCAAACCCAACCCCAAATGGATTGAAACCTTGATCTGGATCCAATGTGGCACAGAGCCCTGTCTGTCAGCCTTTCCTAGCAACTCAAGGAAACTCCACGCATAATTTAAAAGCAATGATGTCCAACTGGTGGCTCATGGGCCACATGTGGCTCATGATCGGTTATTCTGTGGTGACAGCAGGAACAACTGCCAACAGCTGCTACCAGAGGCTCTGGGCTTCCCCTCACTCTGGCTTTTGCTTCTGGCACAGCATGGTACAGTGACATCAGTACAGAGTAAGCCCACTAGCTCCAAAGGCCTAAAGCATGTGCACCAATTAAAGTGCTGGCTGGAGTCTGATGAGCAAAAGAAGATTCAGCAATGTGAGACAGGGATAGGCTTAGTCTTATGTTCCTACTCAAGTGACCTACATCTATACTGAGCCATCAAGTCTGCAGTACCAGCAAAACCCATGGCACAGGACACTGGTGAGGTACAGCAGCAGAGCCCATGTCCAGGGGGAAGGGGCATCTGCATGGGACAGCCATGGAGGAGGGATGGAAAGTGCCCATGTGTTTGGTGCGGAGAGAGAGGAGAAGGGTTGCTTGTGGGTCCGGTGCAACAGTAGGTCTCATATTGAGATCCTGAGTCAGTAAACTTGGGTCAGTTGAGCAGATGATGTGAAAGAAAGCTTGAGTCACTGGGAATGTAGCGACTTAAATGCATAAGTCTAGGGACCGAGATGGCCTCACTTGCCCAACCATGCAATTCAAAGTAGTAATCTTTCAGGAAGTCAAAAGGCATTTTAGAACAGTAGGACTACACAGGTATCTAGAAGTTTTTAGAAATCAGTATTGCCACTGTGAATTGCATTTAGGCAAGACAGCATTTAGTGGAGCAGTGATGTAATATGATCTTTGTGGCCAACACTGTCAGACAGGGGGGTAGCCACATATATTTTGAGTTTTGTTTATAACTACAGAGCTGTGCATTAACTTCATCCTGGCAGCACCCCAGGTCAAACGGTCCAGCTCCCACAGCCTCCTCATATATACATTAAGAAAAGTATATAAAAGAAAAATATACAGAACCCTACTGAAGCCTGCCCAGAAGCCATCAAGGCTTAAGGAGATCACATCCTGGGGACAGGAAAAACACTAAAAAATAGTACTGTTGTTTACTCCAGCTGGAGGTTTTGAACAGGTAACCCAGTTCTTATGACTGATGGTGCCAAAGGCTACTGGCAGGCCTGTAAGAGTTAGACCTGTATCTACTCCAGGGGTGGGCAATTATTTCAGCTGGAGAGCTACTTAACAAGTTTTGGCAAGCTGTCGAGGACTGCAAGAGTAGCTTCATCCCTTGACAGGTGCCCTGCCCCCTCGTTGCCATCTTGGGACCAGAAGTCCTGCCCCCCAACCCAACCTTTGCCACTAGAAGTCCCTCCCCCTTGCCCCTGGAAGTACTCCTTTTGGGAATGGAGTTTGCCACCCTGGAACCAGAAAGAAAAAAGAAAATTACACACTAAAAATCAAGTATCCACAATAACATATTTTAATTTTATTTAAAAAAAATATTTTTCTCCTGATTTGTGTGCATTTGCATAGTGATAGAGGTGATTGCATAATAGCTCAAAACCAAGTCTTATTCTTATATATTGCAAGGGGGTATGGGGCTTGTGGGGGGCTATGGGTACGTATGTGTGTGTGCGCGCATGTGGGGTGTGCGAGAGAGCATGGAGGTGTGGGGGAGTGCATGTGGGGTGGGGTTTGTGGTTATAGTGAGGTGTACATGGGAGCCCCCTCACATGCACCCCCACCCCACAACAGCCTGGAGCCCACATGCCCTGTGGCGCCTCCCTGCTGCCACCAGCAGTGCGCAGCCCTAGCCTGCCCTGGATTTAATACTGACAACATTGCCCACCCTGGACCACCTGTGCCTCAGATTTGTGCATCAAAAATGAAGAGCAATATGGAATGCATTTAGGAAACAAGGGCCAGAAATAGAAGCGTTTGACATCAAGGGCCACATCCAGATGAACACAGACATTTCTTTTCCCAGGGGAATGCCTGTACCATGCACACTCTAGTGCATGGCAGGTTACCTCAGATGGGGTAGGGGAGGCTGGGGCCAGCTACTATGCTGGCCCCAGTAGCCTCACCTGGGGTTCTGGGGGCCTTCCAGGACTGCAGCAGGAAACCTGGCCACCAGCCAGAGCATGGTTCTGGCCAGCCAGGCTCCGTGTTGGGTAGCACATGTTGCTGCCGTGTGCACCACCCCGCATTTTTTTGGTGTGGGTTTTTTTTGTTTTTTTTTACTCCGGGATGGTCTGCAGCACCACATACAGGCAACCCACACTTAGCACTCCCTGAAAAACTGAGCATTAAGCAAAACCAAAAGTATGACAACCCAAGATGGCAACTGCAATTGTTTTTAATGACTCAAGATGGTGCACATTATAACAAAGCTTGCTGAGCACCAAGTGAAATCAGGTATCAATTTAAAACGAGCATTATAGCAAAACAGCGTTAAGCAGGGGTTGCCTGTACTGCACATCTGAGCTCATCTGGATATGGCTCAGGAGGGTAAAAGGAAAGGTTGGAGACTGGAGATACATGCAGTGGCTGGGCATTTTTGCCAAGATATGCAGGTGAGACTTTGCTATGTGCCCAATTTGGGAAACATCAAACAGCTGAGCACATTTGTCATCAGTAAGATCTGGGATTGCTCAGCAACTCTTAAAATCAGCCCCCAAGATGGCTCAAATGGAGCCAGCAATCACTGAAGAACAAAGGATTAACATGCACATGTTTGCAAGATTACAGCCAAATTAAAGACATTACAAAAGTCTTTAATGATCAAATACAACTTTTGGGCCTAATCTGTCAGTGCTGCTTTAATGGAGATGAAGCCAGCCATAAGCAGCCATTGAAACCAGGTCTATTATCCTTTCACTTGAATGCCCAGGATAACTACGAAAGTACCACTCAGCTTGGTCAATTACTTCATCAAAGCTTATTGCTTCTGGTGGAGATGACTACTAATATAAACAGTGGAAAGTAAAGAATACATCACACATCAGGTGAAACCCTGGTCCTAACAGAATCAGAGGGTGCATTGCCATTGATTTCATTGGAAACATCTGGCCTCTTAAGAAGAAAGAAAGAAAGAAAGCATGGACACTCTGTTTATGCAAAAAAAATCACCCACTTCTGCCTGCAGATCAACTGCATATGCCCTCCACATTCCTGGTATCAAGGCCATGATTTTTTCCTATATAGCTGGTCAAGGCCATGACTTTTTCCTATATAGCTGGTCAAGGCCATGACTTTTTCCTATATAGCTGATGCCCTAAATAAAAAAAGAGCTTCCTGCCTGGATCATTGATATTTCTCTGACATGACTAATACAAAATAAACAAAAAACCAACAGAACACCAGCTTACATAGGGTCTTACTAGGGCTTGGTTTTATAGAGTGTCATTTTTAGCCATTTCTCCCAGCTGAGGAAACAAATGTAAGCAAGCAGAAGACAGTGAGCAAAAAGCACCAAGGGAAGAGGAGAATACCACTCTCCCCACACCCACCCCTTTACACATGGGTTATAGGATCCATTTTTCACAGGAATACTCAACTCCTCTCTCTCCTGCAGGAACAAAGTGTAAATCACTGGGCTCCAACCCTGGCTTCCACATGCCACAGGCACAGACAGCCCCAGTGTGCTCCCACTGAAGGAAGCCCATTCACTCACCTACCACTTTGGGCAGGAATTCTCCCTTGCATATTCATCACAGCTGAGGCCAAGGGCCGGTTCTCCAGCACCCCCGAGCACTGTCTGTCACCCAGGCTTTGAACACATCTCCTTAGAAAGAGAGGGATCCTGAACAAGAACTGCTCTTCTGAACCCACCGCACTTCCGTTGGAGAGGCAGGATCTCAGCTGGCGCCCATCTCCCCTGGGCGAACACAGACCACATAGGGCCGGCCTAAGGCGCCGGCCAACAGCGCTGGGCACGACCGTGCCACTGGGGGGGGGGAGCAACCAGGCCTCCCCGAGGACGCGCACGCATGCACTCCGGGAGAGAGCAGTCCCCCGTGCACACGTAGGGCCCCGGCAGGCTCCCCTCATACGCACCGCCGCGGGCCGCAAGGCCCCAAGCGGGACTCACCTTCCGGCGGCGGCGCAGAGGCCCGAGGGCCCCGTGGCTCCCGCTCGGCTCCGCGCCCAGCGCCTCCTGCTGCAGCGGCCACCGCTCTCGCGAGACTTCGCGCCTGCCTGCCCCCGTTATGGGTGGTGCCCGCGCTCTCGCGAGAGGCGGAGCCGCTGGCCGCTGGCCGTGGTGCTGCGGCCGGGGCGGCGCGGAGTAGAGCCGCTGTCCGCCCTGTAGCGGAGCTCCCACCGCCCCCAGGGCACGTGCCTGCCCCTCCGTGCCCCTGGCCCTCGTGCCCCAGGCAGGGGCGGCCGGCTCCGCTTGTCCATCGGCACAAAGGCTTCCAAGGACTTGGGAGCAACGTGACCGTAGACATGGCACCCATCGCTCACAGTCGAACACCCACCCTGCGCTGTAAGGCCTGGCATCGTCCTTTCGGCCTGACTTAGGACCGCCGGTGACACCCTGGGAGCAGGGACGGTGCTCGCACCACCATCCCTGGCAGGCCCTGCCTGGTGGCTTTTATGCGAGCAGTTGCCTGGACGCAGAGAAGAACAGCTGGAACCGGAGGGCATTTGATAATCCCCCCTCACCCCCGCACACGCATGCCTGATAGGGACGCCTGCCATCCCAAGTGCTGCACAGCACAATTTAACTCATTTCCAATACAGTTAAAACTCCTTGGCTGAGAGAAGAAAATAGCAGGCATGACAAATAACACACCCAGCATGAGAGGCTGCGCAAACATGGTACTTCCTGCCTTATTGCTTGTTTATCATCTGGATGCAATAAAGGAAAAAGTAATGAAGAAGTGCTTATGCTCTGCAAAGGCTGTTGGTAAAATAATAGGCTGCATGGGTGTTATGTTTCCACTGTCACAGGCCAGGGTGCATGCTATTTACCATTTTACATAAGCTAGGTCAGATGAGGTCAGTACTTCACTGAGAAACAGCCTACGAAAAGGCAGGGTGATGGTAATACAGTCAGCAGCCTTTTCCTTCTGAATTAATACCAAAGCTGTGCCTGTGTCTAACTCTAGAAACTATAGCCCTGTTAATTTTGCAACATTTGCAATGAGAGGTAGCAATTAAGACCTCACTTCTCACAGTCATTAAAGATCCCATGGGAGTTCTTGCAAGAGCAGAGTGTTAGCCTCTGTCCTTGCCAGCTCCTAACCTAGCCTCTGCTATAATCATCATCCACTTATTTATTGTATAGGAACCTGTTGTTCAAGTCACTGAACATACATATAATGTAAAGTTGGTCCCTGCTCAAAGGAGTTTATAATCTAGATGTATGATGCAAGGCAATGGGAGGACACAATGCACAGAATAGGAGGAGCACAAAGTAACAGTGACCTAAGTAGCTTCTTCTGAGCAGAGGATTCTTCTCCATTTTAAAATCCAAGGCTGGTCTTGGGTACACTGATATAAATATGGAGTAAACTTGACTGTCTTCAGTGAAGCTACTCTGGATTTCCAGTACTGTGAGGAGTATGCTCCTACTTCACCTACTAAGGACAAAAAAAATTAACTTTAGCCAAACACAGCTCTTCTTATCCCCAGTTCTGTCCCCACTGGCACAGAAGCAACCAAGCCTCCCTGGTTTGTAAAAAGAGCTGTCGTGCAGTTGTTGGGGAGGTAGCTACTGCTGACCAAGCAACAATTGAAAACCAAGGGAGTTGGTTGGGCATTTGCAGGAAGTTCTCAATGTGTAGGAGCTACTCAATAAATCTAGAGGACAAGATGAACAAATATCAGAGTAAGAGATCATACAGAGGTTCATGTGTATGTAGGAAAAGGAGAATGGCACTCTGGGATAGGCACTTGTCTGAGGTGGTTAGGAATAGCATGTCCTATATTTGTACAGGAGGTTGAACTAGATAATACTTGAGGTCCTTTCCAACCATTAGATCCTATGATTCCTGACTAGGACCCTATATTTTAATTTGGGATTGCCCCCAGTTGGAGAAAACTTGCTAGAAGGCATCACTTAAGAAACATGACCATTACTGCAGTGCAATTAGGAATATTTCAGCAGACTTTGATACTCAATGAGAACAGGGCTAGGTTCATTGACAGAATATGTTAGATTTCACATTGCAGGTCCTGCAACAACCCCTCTAGAATGGGAGGGGAGGAAAAGCTCATTGGGTTGCCTTCCCTCCAAGGGACCTGGAATCTCTAGTTGTGTATGCTTATCCTTGGAGTTTATGGAATAAAGCAGTAGTCATAGCATGAAATTCTAGCCCTGTTGAAATATTTGGGCTATTAACTACTGACTATAATGGGGCTAGCATATCACTCATTGTTGCCTATTTCATCTTTGCTTGATTAACAGGTTATATTGCTGTAAATGGAAGAAGGATTTTCTTTCCTTTAAGTAGACCAAACTTGGAAAAACAGATTAATGTCTTAAATTATTTGCAAGCTACAAAAATGGCAACAAAAGTCTTAAAAATAGACAGCATCCTCCCCTGTGTCTCTACACCACAGTTTTAAAAAGAAGTATCTTGTTCATCTCAGGAACAACCCTCATGAGTTTAGCTCAGCATCATCTTTTCTCTCCTCCTTTTGCAATGAAAACTTTTATCCTAAAAGTGAATTAGCCCAGTGAAGTTGGTAAATAAAATATTATTACACATATACTATCCATTTAGGTCAGATCATACAGCACTGATCAGTTTAATTAGCCTTCCTTATATCACTGACAACCTTCCTTATATCACTGACAGCTCTACAGATCATGAATCTATAATGAAAGTTGCCTTGCTCTCACTGCTTGGCTTACTGAAATTAGAAGGGACTGTTTCATTTTTTTAATGCCCCTCTCTTCAAATCTGAGATCCAAGATTCTTGGACAGCCCAAAAATGTTTAAATCCTATAAGCTGATTTAAAAAATATTATCAATTTGGATCAGGGTTGTCACAGGCCGGCTAGGCACTGTGAGTGTATCATCCATTAGGCTGCTGGGTTTGGGATCGAGGAGGCAAGCTGGGAGTAAAGTAAAGGCAAATTTACTTATAGCTTAGTTAACAGAAAGGTTAATGCAACAAACAAATAGTAAAATAATAAAGAGCTAATAGTAAATAATAAAAACAGATAGACAAAATGACAAAGAGTTCCCACATGGAGTTGGCAACTTATCGGCAGTCCCTTTATGCCAGGTGCGCACCAACTTGTTCCAGCAAAGTCAAGCGTCCCTGATCAATGCTGTCTGAGGGGTCACCAGGAAGGTCCCTTGGTCAGGATCTGGTCCTTGCTGACACTGGGAGTACAGCGATGGTCCTTCTGTCCCATCCTTCAAAATGGGTACTTGACATGAGCATTCCTTTATGCATTATTTTATGCTAATCTGTTGGCTTTAGAGCCACTCACAATCTTGCCCTGTTGCTGTTTCCCTATGGGATTACAAGGTGCTAGAAATTATCATGAAAGGTTACTGCCTGAACTCGGGTTCACTCAATAAGCAAATTACACCACATTACTTTGAGGTTTGAAATTAGCATTACTCTGCCCAAGCTTAATCCCTTGGTTTCTTATTCCTTGGAATGTGCTAATTATATTAGGTGGTCAGATCTTGTTATGGCTGACCTTTAAAAAACCTGATAGATCAGCTAATTTTGTAGTTTTGCTTATTTTGGGGGCCAGTCATTCCCATGATCAGTGCAAACAATTAGATTCAACACTTTGGTTAAATTGCGACAGACAAATTCCACTTGCAGGTTGCAAACTTGCAAGCTTTGCATTAGCTAATCTTAACTGCTAGACAATTTCCTGGATGTTTCCAAGAGCATATATTTATTGCTCATGATAGTAACCCCTCTGGTTCTGGCCACCACACAGGGTGAGCTACACTTGTCCACACACTCTTTGTGGCTTTAACTTTCTACCCTATATTTTTCTTAAGTTCCCATGGCTAAATTATGGACATCCCAGAGCACTGGAGGTTGAGAAGGATTCAAACAACATAAACCTGAGTCAAACAATTACTGTGGTGTGACGCATCCCTGTCTCCATGGTGGATTTGAGACACACTAGGTCTGTACTGCAGGCTATCAGCGGAAGCCCCATCCCACCCCAAATCCACATGAAATGGGCTTGGAAGTCTCCATGTGGTTTTAAGCAGACAAGTGTGTACCTTCTCATGACACCCTCATAGTTGGAACTAACTGGCATCCCTGCTATCAGTCAAACAGAGCATCTAACATGTCTGAGAGGCCTGTAGGAGAAATTTCCTCCTCAGCCTTTCAGAACAGAGACTGGCAAATGCATTGATGAAGGGGAAAGGTGAACTTGACAGTGTTGTACCCATTCTGTGTATACACAGAGACCTTCAACATCCAGTGCTGTTCATTAGTAGCATACAGTGTTTTTTTTTTAGTAAATTGAAAGTAACTGCTCCAGAGTCAGGAGCGTGTATCTGCTAAGGCCCATATATAATCAACAGAGAGACAGATGGATTCAATACTCATAGCACATTGCAGCTAGAGAGAAAGAACATGATAGCAAAATGTCTGTTTCAATGCTCTTCACTCGTGTCAGCCAATGATATGCAAATAGAATCAAATAATAATAAATATTCATATTTTTTTCTATATCAGTTATTAACTTAATGAGGTTTCACCTCCTTCATACCTCCTCATACTCTTTTCCACACTGGTATGCCACTGAATCCCATCTCTTCCTAGCAAGAACTCCTGCCATCTGGCACATGTGAAGAGCAGCAAACTACAGGATGAGGGGGAAAAGAAAGAATTAATTAATATTTTATATTCACTTTTATTCAGAGAACCTAAAATAGGACAATTTGCATTATTTTGTGGTGAAAGTGGCTATGAAGTATTATTCCCATTCAACAGATGGACAGAGAAAATTACTGAATTGCCCAAAGTCAGCTGATCTGAGAGCCAAGTCATCTGCAATGGCCATCAGACTTTAAAGCTAATCTCTTTAACAGATTCTTTGCTTCCATTTTCTGAGCAGGGACAGTGACATCCCCCCCACTGGGAATCTGAACAGACCCAGGGAAGGCGCAGCCAGGCCCAGGGTTAGTGAGGACCTAGTCAGGGAACTTCTGGAGGGACTAGACGTGTTCAAATC